TACACCTAAATCCACTGAATTTGAATCTGAGTGAAGGACCAATAGGAGATTTTCTTTTAAAAAAACAAAACAAAACTCTGTGAGTGCTTCTAATACATCCCAGTCCCAGTCACTTCCATAGTAAATACAAGTAGACTTTCCTCTGGGGACACTAAGGAGGAAGCCAAAAGGGTTTGAGACCTCACAATAGGGATATCTGGGCTGCCTGGGGGTCCATAATGTTAAGTTCTGTCGACTGGACTCCAACTCATAGTGACCCTTATAGGGTTTCAGAGAAGCAGCTGTTGGGTTTGAACTGTTAACTGGTTTGCAGTCCAGTGCTGATCCAACAGCTCTACACCAGAAATCTACCTTCTATCTATCTCTGTCATACCCAAGTCCTTTCAAGAGCTTCAATATATACCTGGCAGTGGTCTGAAACAACATTCACTCACTCACTCATTCATTCAGTCACTTACTTACTCATTCATCCAATCATCCATCAATTACTCATCAGTGCCTCCATGTGTTGGGCTTAGACTCCCTGGGCTTAGAAAGAGCAAATCCCCAGCCCTACAGTAGATCCAGGAACTCTGGTAGCATAGTGTTTACTAATCGGGCTGTGAACCACAAGGTCAGCAGTTTGAAACTACCAGCTGTTCCGCGGGAGAAAGATGAGGCTTTCTGCTCCGATAAAGACTTACAGTCTCGGAAACCCTGTGCAGGGTCACAATGAGTCGGAACCGACTCCACAGCACATAACAACAACAACAGTAGATCCAGGGAGGAGAGAGAGACCTTAGTCATTGAAGAAAGATCTGAATCGAGTATGACCAGACAGATTCCTGCAGCTTCAAGAGGAGATGGCTGGTCTGGGAGGGAGGGAGACCCAGATGCTGTCAACCTGGGGTTAGGGAATGGGAGAAGTGGGATGGTGGGCTAAGAGGCCACTAGCTTTTCAATTCATTAACTGATGTGGGTGGAGGGTGGGGTTTGAGAGGTGAATCCCTTAAAAGAAGAAAGGAATTTCCTTTCCACTGACTCAGTCCATCTCCCACACCCCAGATCACCCGGAGATGCCTTTGGGGAGTAGAGACTGAAAGGACATCAAGGAGAGCTCTTTAATCCCCTCCCAGTCTACAGGGACCCCACTGAGGAGGTGTGCGGCTGGACACCTTTGTGGGTACTCACACAGGGCTGTGAATATTTTATTTGTTTCAGAATTACTACATATACATGTTAGCATATGAGGCCACGTTCTGTGGGGGGAAAGGCCACAGGTAGGTGACTGTGGATGCAGGAGATCAGAAGACCACATCTCAGAGCCCAGCCCCGAAGGGTGAGGCAGGGGACATCTGTCAGTGCATGTCCTGGGGCATGATTCTAAGTGGAGAAGTAGGGGAGCTGGACGCCTCCAGATTGCCTAACAATGGATTTAGGCACCAGCTAGGTCTGGGGCACATGTGTATATTCATGGGTGAAGGACAAGAACTGGGGTTCCTGAGCAGTATTGCCCCAGCCAGCCATGCTCATGGATTGAGTAACAGCAGCATGTTCAGCAGACACAGAGGTGTTGGAGCTTCCTGGGGTGGGCCTGCAACATTCCCCTCACCCTCTTGCTCCTCACAGGGTAACTACTAGCCCCCAGCTCAGGGCTATTAAACACAAAACCAAAAAACTGTCCAGGGCTTTCACATCAAAGACAAAGAGAGATCTTGTTTGTCTTTTCGCTAATCTATGGCCCTGCTCACCCTAGCAGCTGGGCTCTGGGCATGTGCAGGCATGTGTTTGTGTGTGTGCTTGCATGTGTTCATGTGTATGGTGGCCAAGATGGTTAGCCCTGGAGGCTGACATCCGAGCCTCTTGCCACAGAGGTGGAAGCTTGGGGAGGGTGAGCTTGGGTTTGGGAAGGGTCCTCCAGGCTGAGAGAAGCCTGGGAAATCCATGTGGGCAGAGCCCAGGGGTCATTAAGGAGACCTGGGGGCCTGCCCAGGATAGTGATCCCAGCCCGTCTGACCTCCTCAGATCCCTGCTCTCCTGGCACCTCCAATACACAACACACTGGAAAGCCCTGAGTCCCTGAGTGGATCTCCAAGGCTCTCAACCCTCCTCCCATCCAGTGTCAGGTATGGGAGGGCCTCGCCACCTTGTGGGTACATGTGGTACTTCTCAGTAAGCCCTGGGCTAACCAGAGCCTAGAGAGTGAGTCAACCCTGATGGAGCAATGGTGGTCTCACATCCCCATGGGAGTGAGGGATAGGTGAGGAAACCTGGTCAACACCCTCCCGTGACAACAAGGGGCAGTTCAGGTTGACCCACACCTGTCTGCAGGGGCCAAACCTCATGCCGTCAGAAGTAGCAAGGGTACGTTTAGGACACCTTAGAGCATGAGTGGGGAACCTTTTTTTCTGCCAAAATTTATAACATCATTCACGGGCCATACAAAATTATCGACTTAAAATTAGCCTGCCACATTTGGTCACACATTAAATTAACTCACTCCTTTTGAACCATCAGGTTGGCAGTTCAAAAATTAAGAGCTGCTCCGCTGAAACCCTACACAGGGTCATTATGAGTTGGAACCAATTTGATGGCACTTGAGAACACCAATGTGATGGCTGGAACTGCGGTAGCCTTGGTAGGGCCAGACAAAATGATTTATTGGACCTTATACGGCCTACGGGCTGGGTTGGACGTTCCTCACCCCTGCCTGAGAGGAAGGTGTGAAGGCAGGATCTTAGCATCCACCTAAGGTCTAGGGAGGGAGGGAGTCCTGCCCGAGGTCCCACAGTGCGACGGATCCTTGAGCTCTACTGATCCCCAGGCTCATGCATTTGCCCCAAGCTGACCAGACTTAATGATAGCACAGAGAGAGTTCTCACTGAGAGTCAGCAGAGGGGAGGACATCTGGGCCTTGTGGAGGTGAGGCTGCAATTGGGGCTCCAAGATCTGGATATTAAAAGGCAATGGTATGTCATTGTGGGATAAAGCCCTGGACCACAAGGTCGGTTTGAACTACAAGGTCAGTAGTTCAAAGTCAACAGCTGCTCCTCAGAAACTCTATACGGGGTTGCTACAAGTCGAAACAGACTCTACAACACTTAACAACAAACAAATAATATTAGCATTGATGGAGTACTTACTGTAATGCTAACTAGGCACTGTGCTAACCATTTACAAACATTAGTGGTGCCGTAGAATAAGCATTGGGCTGCTAACCCCAAGACTAGCAGTTCAAATCCATTAGCCACTCTTTGAGAGAAAAATGAGGCTTTCTGTTCTGGTAAAGATTTACAGCCTTGGAAACCCTATTCAGGGGATTCAGAACTGACTAGATGGCAGTTTTTTACTGCAGTATTAATGAGGCACTGTGCTGTTTACAAACATTGTTGTTGTTAAGTGCACTCGAGTTGGTTCCAACTCTTAGCGACTCTGTACAGGGTTTCCAAGGAGTGCCTGGTGGGTTTGAACTGCTGAGCTTGTGGTTAGCAGCCCAGTGCCTATCCCATAGTACCAGTCATTTAATACAATGACTTTTTGAAGTAGGTACCCTTGTAATCCATACTTTTCAGATAAGGAAACTGAGGCAAGAAGAGAAGCAACTTGCCCTGGGTTACCAGCTGGTTAAGTGGCAGTACAAGGATCAGAGCCCAGGATTTTGACAACACTGAGGGCTGGGTTATGATAACCTAGAAAAATGTGAGTTCTCTCTCATTCCATAGATGGCACTGCTAGCTCTGTCACGCAATGCCTGCCCTCGCCCTCCAACACCTGAGCAGCCAGTTCTCCAGGAGGCCTGGCCTCGTGCGCCCTCTGCTGTGCACAAGGAGCATCACAGTGCTCCCTCCTGCACAAGCAGTTGCAGCCCCGATCCATTTCCTACTTCCAGAAAAGACCACCACCACTGTAGAGCTCCCAGCTTGCCCACTTACACAGACAGGAAGGATTGGCTCAGTCACACCTCTGGTTTTCAGGTTTTCTACCTTGTAAACTCATTCACTTCCCCCAAAGACACACTGGTCCTACATCCAACTCCACTGAAGGCTGCTGGAACCACAAGCCAGAGAGCTCCCAAGGAACTAGGATTCTACGCAGAGCACTGCCAAGGAGGATAAGGGGTAGAATTGGAAATCTGGAATAAAGGACACAACTCACACGAAAGCCTCAGAAAAAACCAAGAAGGATGAGTACTCTTTGAATTGACTTAAGGACGAGGAAAGGGCCAGTAAAACTTGGGCCAATCGGGGTAAAAGTTGGAAGTAGTGGAGTCTGAGCGTGTCCATCTTAGCCAACTCTGGACATGGGCTTGCCACTGGGTGACGAGAGGCAGACAGCCCATAACGGGAGTTCCCTAGGTTTGGGTTAATTGCCTCAGGAACACCACTGGCCTTATGTCAGAGGAGAAATTAATAATTTACTGCAAAGGACACTCCACAGTTTATTTGTATCTGCCTTTGGAATGTACAGAGAGACCCTCAGGGGACCATCCCCTAGCCTGGGAGAGGAGGCGTCAGGACAGGACACAGAATTTAACAGAAGTTCAAGGGCATCAGCATGGCAGGCACTTATGCTGTTCCCCTCCCCTCTAGGTCACCTGTGCGCCTACCTGGGCCCTCCTCTGTGGCCCAAGATCACTCTCTCCTCTCACCCTGGGCTGGTCACAGGCAGGAGACTCAACCTCCTCTCTTCCATATTTTAGCTTCCTTCCCCCCTGCCCCCCATTCTGTGCCTAAAAAGTCTATTCCTGAGGATAGAGCACACCTGTACCCATAACTTCTCTTTCCCATGCCTCCTATAGAAGCCTCCTCATAACCCAGGGTGCACAGTGCAGACTCCTAAGAACTGGGAAGCTCAGTAACACCTGGAGGACTCACAGCTGACTGTGTCTGCAGGCATGACAGCAAACACGAGTGTGCCTATTTGTCTGTGTAAGGCAGGGCTGGCGATGCCACTGTGACAAGATGTGGGGGGCATAAGCCTTCTAGGGGGTGCCTGCCTGCAAGTGGGGCAGGAACAGGGACTTATATATCATAGAAGTCCACATGGGCTCCAGATGTAAACGTGTCCTTTTGCAGCAAGCTTAGCAGTTTCTGTGCCGACATTCCACAGTCCACCAGCTCCCCCTTTGTCTTCAGTTCTTGCAGCCTTTCTCGTAACTCTGGGTCCCCAGAGGTCTCTCGAGCCAACTGTTGCATGTCTGTGTCCAAGGGACCTAGGAGATAAAGAGTAAAAGATGAGGAGACAGGGCCAAGGTTAGGCAGAGGGACGTGGGTAGGGAGAGGCTGAAATCAAGTCCGGCCGGAGACAAAACCTCACTTTGGCTGACATGCATGGCCAGGGTTGACAAGGACTCACTTGGGCACTATTGAATTCCAGGATCAAATTCTAATGCCCACTGAACACGCTCCCTCCAAAACACCATGTCTAAAACTAAGTTCATCATCTTCTTTCAAACCAGCACCTCTTCCTGACAGGTTCAAAACATCCATCACTTTCTCCCTCCAGCTCCCAATGTCCCTGCAGCCAAGCAGTCACCAGGCAGGACCATTCCACATCTATGTATCTTTATAGTCAACCGGGTCCCTTGAAACAACCAAGGTTTATGGCCAAAGCTTCTAACGGTGTTCACCTCCACCTTCACAGGCTCTCCGGGTTTGAAGGAAAACCATCCTCCTGATTCTTGTGGGATTTTTTTAAACCACTGGGGCATCCCTAGTGAGAGGGGACTTGCTATCTTTTGAAATAGCCTGCTCCGCCCATTGTTGGACACCTGTTTAAACATTCTTCCTGATACTGAAATGAAAACCAGACTGGTCTTAGCCTTCATTCAGGCCCTGGCAGTCTCTCATTCATTCTGCTATTGTCTGAGTGAGAACTAGGTTGAGCTCTGAGGGGCTGCTGGCCTTATGAGCAACTACTGTCTATGTGTCAGGGAGGGAGAAAGTAGTGTGTAGCAAATGATCTAATGGCTCTTCCAGCCATAGCCTGTAACCCCATTTTAACAGAAACAGCGTTTCTGCCTCACTGGGCCTGGGTGAGAAGGTGGGAGAAGATACTGATAGGAAGACATGATTCAGCTGAGGATGTTAACAGAGTTCATTGTAATTGTAAACACTTGGAATTCGAGCATGGGTTTAAAATGAGTCATCTCAGAAGCAGGATGGGATATCTCACTACTATCAAAGAAGAGCCAGATGTGAAGCATGTCTTTTGCACCCTTGTTGTTGTTGTTGTTGTTAAGTGCCGTCGAGTCGGTTCCGACCCATAGCGACCCTGTACAGGGTTTCCGAGGGTGTAAATCCTTACGGGAGTAGAAAGCCTCATCTTTCTCCCGCGGAGCGGCTGGTAGTTTCGAACCGCTGACCTTAAGGTTCGCAGCCCGATTCGTAACCACTACGCTACCTTAGACCCTTGCATATTGACCCTCCTTGGCCCAGGGACAGAAAGCTGTGACACTGGAGAAGTGATGGAGAATTATCATCAGCAGAACCAAGAACCAGAAACTGAAAACAGTGGAGCAAGTAAAGCTGAGTAATTTGGGGCAGGAAACCTGCTTGTAGAGTGCAGTTCCTCCAGGTACTTGGTAGGGGAGCTAGGTTTGCTGACCCACACAACTAGAGCCAAGTGCCTTCAGGCTGAGGCCTATGGTGGAGTGTGGTTTGTCCTATGGGCATGTATCAGCAGTTGACTGGAATAACTGTGGGCCTGAGCATTTCTGACCCTGAATTGTAAGCTGTTACAATGTCCCTAATAGGAGTCCTGGTGTGGCGCTGTGGGTTAATGCGCTAGACTGTAAAATCGGTTTGAATTGCAAGGTTGATGGTTCAAGCTCACCAGTTGCTCCTTGGAAACCCTCTACAGGGTTGCTACGGATCGGGACCAACTCGATGGCACTTAACAACTACAACAACTTCCCTAATAAACCCCATAACGATGAGAATGGTATGTGACTTTTGTGTGGCCACTGCAGTGGATTATTGAACTCAGCGGTGTAGAAGGCTGTGGGAGGAATCGGTGTTGCCATAGTGTTACAGTTAAGACACTGCAGAGCAGGAGAGCATGCCAACAGCACTAATCAAGAGCTTGGAGACATGGTTGAAATCTAGATCCGCCACACCTGAGCTTCAGGCAAGCTGTTCTGCCTTTCTGACCCTGAGGTCCTCAAGAGGAAAGACCATCAGATCTTCATCTAAGTGGCTCAATCTACAACAGCTCTGTTGCCACCTTCTAATTCCAGGAACCTCAAGGGCAGTGTGGTCTCACGATGGGGCATCAGAACTCAGTCTAGGTGTCATTAAGAACCCCTACTCTAACTTTCATGAGGACAACTTGATGCATGGTCCCTGTGTTCAAAGCTTTCCTGACAAGCAAAGGAAGCAGAGAAGTAAATATACTAAGATAATCCAGTGGAAAAGTCCTATCTAACAATTAGAAGTGTTACCTTAGCATCCTGTTCCACATGAGGAGTGGGGTCCAGACCTGGAACTCAAACCCGGGTCTTCTCTCAACCTCTGTATCTAATACCTGAGACTTCTCTGCACCCCACGTCCTCTACCTACCACTCCCTGCATGTCTGCTCTAATTTCCTTGGAGCCTGTATTTTCCTTAAGGGGTGATGGGTCACGGTTCAGACACAATATTTCTGTGGGTTCTTTCCTGGAGAGGACAGACAAGACGCCTTGCCCCGTATTCAGAGGGGGGCCAGCAGGTTTTAGGGGAAGGGGTGGCAGCAATTCCTACCTACCTGGGGCATAGCTCAGCACTCTCACACTGGGCTCTTCTGTGGCCAGGACCTGGAACATCATGTCACGGGCGGCCTTCCCTGCACAGTACAATGTCCAGCCCTTGAAGGGCTGCAGTGCACAGAGGGATGAGATGTTAACTACGGTCCTGCGGAGGCCAGGACTCTCAGGGAAGGCCTTCAGGATGCTGGAGGTCAGACAGAGCATGGAGGTCAAGTTCAGAGCCCAGTAGTTGCTCATTTCAGCTGGGTCACACAGGTCCACGAAGCCTTTGGACACATCCCCAAGAGTGCCTGTGAAAACCAAGACCTTAGAAATCACCCAGTGCTAGGCAGGGCTTTCTCTTTCTCAAACCAAACCCATAGCCCTTGGTTCTGAGTCACAGCAGCAACCCTGTAAGACAGAGAACTGCCCTCAATTCACTGTGAATTGAGTGAAGAGTAGATCATCAGTTTCACATTACAAAAATCATATGTTTCATTTCAATGGTTGCAATCCCTTCCATGTGACATCAGTTACCTGACTTCCTCCTGTGATTATTTCCTCTCAACCTTCTGTCTCAACATTTCTGAATGTTGTGCTTAGGTAAATGCTGACTTTTTGTTCTTGAATGGTAGACTATTCCATGGTATGCATACCTCACTGGTGTCGCTATACACCTATTTACTGCTGCTCTTGCTGCTGTATGCTGTCTAATCAGTTCTGACTCATAGCAACCCTGTAGAGGGTTTCCAAGGCTGTAACTCTTTATGGGAACAGAAAGCCTCATCTTTCTCCCATGGAGTGGCTGGTGGATTTGAACAGATGATCTTGCCGTTAGCAGCCCAATACATGCTACTCTTGCTTGGCTGGAAATTGAGCCACGAGGGTGAGTTCAGCTCCAGAATGAAGGGTGAACAAGTGCCACAGTTTCTGACCAATAAACCTAGTCTTGTTTTTTTTTAGTTTTGTCCCACATTTTCTACCTCTATTCATGCCCTTCTAATGTGATCCCTATCAGAACAAGTGAGAGTGGTAGCCGGGCACCATCTTGTTTTTCTGGTGTCTGGGTCATAGAGACCGACATTCACTTGTTACATTTAGTCCAACTGAGTAACTGATTTCAAGTGTCTTCAATTTTCATCACTCTTCTTTCAGTGGCATAGGGAGAGACCAATAGTTGCCCTTTAGTGGCGCTCATGAGCTTTTAAGATCCCAATCACTACTCACCAGAGTAGGCTGTAGAAGATTCTCTTAGCTATTTGACCATGGTATTCACAAGAGCTCTGGTAGCCTAGTGGTTACAAATTTGGCTGTAAACCGATTCGAAACTACCAGCCGCTCCGTGGGAGAAATATGAGGCTTTCTACTCCCGTAAATATTTACACCCTCGGAAACCCTGTACAGGGTCAGTATGGGTCGGAACCGATTCGACGGCACTTAACAACAATTCACAGAGACTATGGTCTTGAGCCCTCAGGCCCAGCAACTCATTCCCTCAAGGTGTTTGGTAATGTCTAAGACTTTTTTCTAATTTTGTCCCCTGTATGTTCCGCCACCACTAGGTCAGCAATTCAAACCCACCAGTTGCTCCTTGGAAACCCTACACAGAGTGGCTATGAGCTGGTACCCACTCAAAGACACTTGACAACAACAATAACACGCTCCACCACATTCATGGATACATTTGCAATAGATTGTAATTCTTTAAGGAAGCAGACGCCACATCCTTCTCCTGTATAAAGGCTGGTGGCTGTGTGGCTGTGTGCTGCAGAGTCGGTTCCGACGATTAGCGACCCTGTACAGCCTGTAAATCTTTACGGGAGCTGAAAGCAGCCTAATCTTTCTCCCGCGAACCAGCTGGTAGTTTCGAACTGCTGACCTTGCCGTTCGCAGGCCGATTCATAACCACTACGCTACCAGAGCTCCTTCGTATAAAAGCTAGTGAGGTCCAACTGCCAACCTTTTGGTTAGCAGCCAAGGGCTTAACAACTGGGACAACAGGGCTCTCCAAATTGCACCAGACTTTGTCCTTGCTGTACTTTTGAAGACACTTCCTTCTTCCCCAGATCTGCAGACAGATGCCCTCCATGTAGCGCCATGGGAAGGTGCCTGCCCAACCCTGGAACTTAGGGAGAGCTCTGGAGATGCCAGAGAATTTTCTTCAGCTTGGCAATTCCGTACCTGTCGGAGGCCTCCGCCAGAGGGCGCACGACAAGGCGACTGGGAAAGTTCTACAGGGTTTTAGAAAACCTGGCTTCACCCACCTGGGGGTGGGAAGAGGAATGAGAGAGAGTTAGTAGAGGTGGAGCGGGGGTGGGGTAGGGTTGGGCCTAGGTGGAGGAGATCGCCTCAAGCGCACCTGGTTTTCCTCTTGCACACCATGCCACCGCAAGCCACCCAAGTTGGAGCATTTAGGACTTCAGGTATCTTATCTGACTCCTTATCAGACCCCTTGCATTCCCAAACTGTGGGGAAAGTGATAGTCCGGAGGAGGGCGGGAGAGCAGAAGGGAGAACAAGCAATACAAATGGAAGGTCAAGTTACCGGGCCCGCACCTGCATTGTTGATGAGCAGCAGTCGCTGCAGTCCCTCGGGCTTGGGTAGCTCGCGTACGGCATCGAGCAGGTGTTGCAAGCCTGCCTCGGTGCCCAGGTCGGCGGACACTCGCAAAATGCGCAGGCCAGGCCGCCTAGAGTCCAACTCTGCCTCCAACTGCTGCAGCGCCTCATCGTTGCGGGCGCTTATGACCATCACCGAGCCAGGAGACAGCAGCGGGGCCAAGAGCGGGGCCAGAGCCCGGCCGAAGCCGCGGGAGGCCCCGGTCAGCACGCAAACTACACGTCCTAGGCCGCCCTCCATTGCACCACACCCGTCCCTACCTCTGACCTCCTCTTGCTCCCTCAGAAACAGAGTCCGAGCAGGGGGCGTAGCAGTCTCGGTGGAAGGAAGCACGATTGGTGTATCACGAGGCTCCGCCCAGTGGGTGGGAACATAAAACTGGGGACTTCGACCGCTCAGGACCTGCTTCCTAGGAGGTTTGTAGCTTTGTTGGTAAAGTGCCATGGAGTCGGTTTCAACTCAAGTCCAGTGCTTATCCTACAGCGCCACACCAGGACTCCTCCTAGGAGTCTGAGACGAAATAGAGGCACAGGCTCAACTGGTCTTCACGCCGAGGCGCTAACGGAAGACTGCAAGCGCCTGCTTCCAAGCACGGCATAATTTTCTCCCATCACTCCAGTGTGCTTAACCTGCAGCTGAAACGTTAGTAAAGCCTTGAATGAAGCCCATGTCTGTTTAGGACTTGGGGTCCTGCTAGGCTTGTAGAGCTAGCCACCTGAGTAACAGGAGACTCCTCCTGGGAAACCACAGTGGATCCTACAAATGACGTAAAAGCCCTTTCTTCATCACTTTCCTCTGAGTCACCCCACCTCTTTGAAATTTCTAACTCCCTAAACTTCTGTGTTCTCTAGTATTCTGTGGACCATTCATTCTACCTCTGCCTCGTAGGGGTTTTCATCCACGCCCAAATTCAATTTTTTGCAAGCAACCACATAAGTCTGTACCTCCGGAGTTTCAAAAAACACACATTGCCCCATCTCTCACCCAGGCCCCAAGGAGAGAGGGAAGATGGCTCAGGTGGCCAGACAGCTACAACTCTCCTAAAAGAAAAGCCCCTTCAGAGTTTAACAAGGGCAGTAGTAACCTCCAATCATAACATAGTTTCTCCCCACAGGGCCAGGCCCTGGTACATGCGGGTAGACAGCAAACTTGCCTTCCAAAATTTCTCAAAAACTCATCTGTCTGCTTGTGCTGTGGCCTATGATTTCTGACAACCAGCAAAAATACCCAAACAACTTTGGAGGAAACTTTACACGCACCAACCAGCACTTAGCACCAGAGGAAACCTAGATTCAGATTTGTCACCACATGGGAAAAACTTTTGGTAAAGGTGTACATTTCAGATTGTATCCACAATATTGTAAGAACAAATAAAATTTATAGATATTTAAAATTTCATTTAGTAAGATTATTGCAGTATTAAAAACTCACAGCAAGCCTCATATTCAATGGAGAAAAATTCAGAGCCCTCCTCTTAAAATTGAGAACAAGACAAGGATGACTTCTTGTACCACTGCTGTTCAGTATTAGACTGGAGGTCCGAGCCAGAGCAGTTAGGCAAGAAAAAGATATCTAAAACGACATCTAAATTAGAAAGGAAAATATAAAACCATCCCTAGTCACTGATGACATGATTGGAGACATAGAAAATCTCAAAGAATTTACAAGAAAGTTACTGAAGCTAACAAGTGAATTCTGTAAAACTGCAGGTACAAGATCAACACACAAAAATCAGTTGGGTTTCTATGTACCAGCAACAAACAATCTGAAAAGGAAATCGGGAAAACAATTCCATTTACAGTAGGAAATAAAGAATAAAATACCGGGCAATAAATTTAACAAGATAGGTGAAATACTTGTATGCTGAAAACTATAAAACATTGCTGAAAAAAATGAAAGAAGAAGGCTTAAATAAATGGAAAGACATGCTGTTGTTTTTAGGTGCCATCAAGTCAGTAGCGACTCATAGCAACCCTATGCACAACAGAACAAAACACTGCCCAGTCCTGGACCAACCTCACAATTGTTGCTATGCCTGAGCCCATCGCTGCCACCACTTTGTCAATCCATCTCGTCGGGAGTCTTCCTCTTTTTCTCCGACCCTCCACTTTACCAAACAAGATATCCTTCTCCATATTGACTGGTCCCTGCTGGCAATATGTCTGAAGTATGAGAGACAAAGTTTGGCCTTCCTCGTTTCCAGGGAGCACTCTGGTTGCACTTTTTCCAACACAGATCTGTTTGTTCTTTTGGCAGTCTGTGGTATTTTCAACATTCTCCAACACCATATCTCACATTCATCAATTCTTCTATGATCTTCCTTATTCACTGTTTAACTTTCTCATGTGTATGTTGTTGTTGTTGTTGTTGTTAAGTGCCATCGAGTCGGGTCCGACCCATAGCGACCCTGTACAGGGTCTCATGTGTATGAGGTTATTGAAAATACCATGGCTTGGGTCAGGCTCACCGTAGTCCTCAAGCTGACATCCCTTTAACACTTTAAAAAGGTCTTGTCCAGCAGGTTTGCCTAATGTAATATGTCATTTGATTTCTTGACTGCTGCGTCCATGAGTGTTGCTGGTTGATCCAAGCAAAATGAAGTCTTTGACAACTTCAATCTTTTCTCCATTGATATGGGTGTTACTTACTGGTCCAGTGATGAGGATTTTTGTTTTCATTTAATTGAGATGCAATCCATACAGAAAGCTGTGGTCTTTGATCTTCATCAGTAAGTATTTTAAGTCCTCTTTACTTTCAGCAAGCAATGTTGTATCATCTGCATACTGCAGGTTGTTAATGAGTCTTCCTGAAATCCTGATGCCACATTTTTCTTCATGTAAACCAGCTTCTCGGATTACTTGCTCCACACACAGACTGAGTAAGTATGGTGAAAGAATACAACCTTGGTGCACACCTTTCCTAATTTTCAACCATTCGGTGTTCCCTTGTTCTGTTCACACAATTGTTTCTCTGTCTGTGTACAGGCTCCTCATGAGCACAATTAAGTGTTACAGAATACTCATATTTTGCAATGTTGTTCTTAGCTTGTTATGATCCACACAATCAAACACCCTTGCGTAGTCAGTAAATCACAGGTAAACATCTTCATGATATTCTCTGCTTTCAGTCAAGATCCATCTGACATCCGCAATGATATCTCTTGTTCCACGGCCTCTTCTGAAACTAGCATGAGCCTCTGGAAGTTCTCTGACAATGTATGCTTGCAGCTGTTTTTGTATAACCTTTAGTAAAACTTGGCTTACATAGTATAACAGTGGTATTGTCCATTGGATCACCTTTCTTTGGAAGGGGCACAAATATGGATCTCTTCCAGTCAGTTGGCCAGGTAGTTGTCTTCCAAATTTCTTGGCATAGATGAATGAGTGCATCAGTTTGTTGAAAGATTTCTATTTTTATTGCATCAATTCCTGGTGCCTTGTTCTTTGCCAATGCCTTAAAGCACCTTGGACTTCTTCCTTCAAGATCATTGGCTACTTTTTTGAAATGGTTGAACATTTACCAGTTCTTTTTGGTACAGTGACTGTGTTTTGCTTCCATCCTCTTTTTTTTTTTTATTGTGAATTGAGTGATAACATCGGTTTTACACTTATCATTTCATTGCTACGATTGCAATCCCCTCAGTGCATCATCATTCAACAGTATTGGCTTCTATTCCCTCTGTAGGTTTTTTTTTGTTTGTACACAAAAGCACTCAAGAATATATAGTCATTTAAACAACCAAAATACACATTCTGTAAGCCTGCCTCCTGGCCTCCAGCACATAGTGTTTTCTTTCCATGAGTCTAGAGTCTTCAGCTGCTCTATCTCCCATGTCCCCTTCTCTGCCTCCATCTCTGGTGTCACTGCTTCTCTGGATAGGGTCCCACATTCCGCTCATGCTTTTCTCCCTTGATGGTCCTAGGATCCTCTGTTCCTAGACTGTAAGATTAACTACTCTCCCCCTTTTTGTTACAGAACTTCTACCTTTACTGTTGTGATAGTCCCAATTAGTCATATAACAATAGCTCACTACTGAATCATAAGAATCTTATCCCCATATCTTTTCACCAGACCCATCTAGACAAGATGAGAACTATTCAATGGGGATTCCACCTTCCCCTACACACTCTGAATTCCTTCTCCGGCATTTCCAAAGCCTGCCCATCTTCCAGTATGGAGTGTAGGTCTACTTCCAGCTCATTTGCGTCAATCACTTTATCTCGTTTCTGGCCATGTGCAGATATGGTCATCTGCTTCTGTTTTTTGGGCATATTCAGGGGTTATCTGTGGCCTTAATACGTAGATGAGTATGTATTTTGGTATTTTTTATGATTTCTGATTGCCTCCAGGTAGATGTGCTCAGGAAATGGGCTTCCCTTTTCACTCTTCTTCTTAAGAAATTTCAAGAC